TCAGAATCTAAATGTGTTTTTTTTACTTAGGCATGAAACTAAAGGCATTAAATGATTTGCATTATTAAAATATCTATAATGCTGCCTGTCAAAGGTTCCTAAAGGAGGTCCTTAATATTCATACCTTATGTTCTAAATAAAGTTACTCTCCAGCTTTATGGGAGTTCTGCTTCTCACACCACTAAAAATTCCTTGCAGGTGCCTCTCTGGCTATTTTGCAATCCCAACCCTTTTTTGTTTAGCCTTGGAAAAGCTGTGCCACTCCATTCCTGGTGCTTTTCCACGAATTCTGCTGCTTTTCCTCCTTCCCCTGCTGTCCCCCAGCCGTTCCCACCTCTGGAGCTGGTGTTTATGGAAGAGTTTGGCTGTTGGAAGTTTGCCCTGCTCAGGAATCCTGCCAAAACCCCCCCCTTGAGTTTCTCTGGAAATGAAAAATTACCGAGCACCACCTGCCCAAAAAGTGGGGAAATGTGGGGATGCTGAGCTGGGATGGAGAGCACCAAAAGAAGAGGAGGAACACGACGGGCAAGAAGATTTTTCTCCCTTAATTCAATCACTGAAATTACAATCTGTCCCGCTCTAATTCTCTCCACTTGTACCCGTGCAGTGGTTGCAAACATGCTGAAATATGAACTCATGCTCGGTAAGCCTTTAATTCCAGCTTTGATGTTTTTAATCATCAGTACAGATTTGGTAAAAATGATTCATTAGCTCGAAACGCATCTCGGGTTCCACGTGACGCCGTGGGGAACGGAGGAGGCAGCGCCAGGGGCCACTTGTTCTTGGGATGTTCTTTGTGCCTGAGCTGATTCTGGATCTCAACATCTCAGCTTCAGAGGGCTCTGGCGTGTCCAGGTGCCTCCTCTCCCCATCTGGTTTTGGTCAAAGCTCCTCGCTGGGAATGGTGTGAGCAGAGCCCGTGGTGGCTGAGGTTTCTCTCTGGGTGCAGCAGCAGGAGAATTTCTGGCCCTGTTTGCCTTCCCTGCCTCCCTCCTGCCTGGAACCGCTCCCTTAACCCTTGCTGCTGTTGGAGGCTGAGACACAGAGTGCCTCTGAGATCCAGGAGAACACTGAATTCCATAGAACGTGAAATTTCTGGGCATCTTTTCACGGTGTTACATGAGAATAATTGTTAAAGTTAGATGGAAAAGCTGAAAGTGTGAATGGGTAGATTAGAGAGTTTTCATAAGTCACTTTAAAAGGTGAAAAAGTTAATTTGGAGTTTAGAGAGCAGAAGACAAGATGGAGGATTTAGGGTGTTGTCTCTTTTCCTTCTTCTTTCTTTCAAGCAGAGGTGAGATACCTGTTTTCTTGTTATGCCAACGAAAATCCATCAAGGTAAAACACATCCAGGTGAATACTTATAAATGGGATGGAAAAAAAAAATCTGCCTTCAGAGCCAAATCCTCCATCCCATTCCTGGCACTGGGGGTTCCAGGGATGCCACCAGAGCCTCTGAGATGCCCACGCGGCATCGCCCTTGTGGCTCCAGCTGCCCCCGCCGTGCGTGCCAGGGCTAGAAAGATCCCTTTGACAGCTGTTGCCACATGGAAAGAGGGATTTCTGTTCCTGCAAAGCCACCTTTGTGGCAGCAGAGCCGTGGGAGAGGCCCTGGAGGCGGCTGGGTGTTGGGATCCTCGCCGTGGGATGATTTTTGTGCCCTGGGTTTTTGTGTCGATCCCACGCCTGAGCCCGCTCCAAGCCGAGCTGCTGAAGGACCACAGAAACCCCAACATGGAACTCCGGCTTCTTCAGGACAAAGACGTCCCCAGGAAAATTCCAGAAGCTCTCCAGCCCTGCCTCCCAAGGAAAGGGCAGGAGAGGAATAAACACTTTCTCCCCGTTGTGCTGAAAGGCTTTTATCTCCCGGGCAAGTTCTGAGCTGCGAGGAGGAGACTCAGCTCTTCCCAGGTTTTGTCTTCCAGGCTGTTCCTGCTGTAACAAATTGTTAAGCAACAAGTACACGGCATTTGGAGATGTGGGATGAGATAGGGACAGCCTCACAAAGGCGCTCTCACACGTTCAAGGCTTCCTTTTGTGCTCAAGGGTTTTATATATTTATTTTTCTCTCTCTGGCATCCAGCTGCTGCTCCTCTTCTTCCTTCATTCCCGGTGCTGGAGTGGGAGCCAAGGCCGTGGGTTTGTGCTCCTGTGTCCAGCCAAGCCTGCTCTTATCACAAATCCCTTTTTTCTCCCCGCAGAGCAAACACTGCTTGCTGCTGTTCTCTCACCTCTCCTCCTCCCCCTTGGTTTTCTGTAAATCCCTCACTTGATTTCTCATGCTTTCTGTGGATTTTGTTTTGTTTCCAGCTTGTTTTTTTTCTCCTTAAAATCCTTTTGGTTTTTTGTTTTTGTTTTTTTTTTTTGCTGGACATTAGCCATGCTTTTTCTTTTGTTTTGCTTTTTCTTTTCCCCCTCCTCAGGGTATTGTGTAATCATTTTATTCCTTCCCTGTAAATAGACAAAGGAACCAGAACACGGAGTTTTTCCTGGTTCTGTTACCTGTTGAAATGAATCCAAACACCTTTATCCCTCACCAACCCGCCCTGAGCTAATGCTGTAAAAGTGAATTGAGGAAAAGGAAATAAAAACAAACAAAAAAGAGGAATATTTGTGCGGGTGACACTCGTTGTTTGACCCTGCGCTGCCAGGGCTGGGCAGCCAGGAACAGCATTCCCATAGGGAAGAACCCCGAAGGCTGGGAAGTTTGAAATGAAGAAAGAAAACAAAAAATAAAGCACTGAGGAAAAAATTCCCCATGAGGAGACTCCTGCAGGAGATGGAGCGTGCTGAAGTCCCAGCAAAGTCGGGAATTTCGGCTCCCACGGGATCCATCCCTGCGGATTTTACCTGTCCAGCCTGGAGCTGGGGCTTTGCTGGGTGACTGATCCAGAGGGAGCAGCGACTTTTCCTCCTTCCTCCCCCAGCAAATCCAAGTTCCAGAGAGGAGAGGGAAAGGGGCTCTGACGTGTGAGGATCCCTCCAATCTCTCCCCTCTTTTTCCGGGGGAAGAGCCGGAGTGGCCGGGCGTTTCTTGGCGTGCAGAGCGTGGATAAAGGTCCTGTCAGCACCTGCCTGTTCCCTAATCCCGTTTATCCCAGCGAGGAACGCTCCACGCTCTGCTCCGAGGCCCTTCAGAGCACTTTGGGTTTAGGGTGGGCATTTCAGAGCACCCTACCCCGCTGAGCACCATCCCAAGAGGAGCCCTGATGGATTTGGAGGCTCATTCCTGACTTTAAGGAGCTGGAAGCACCTGCCGAGGTTTGCTTGGTGCTGCAGAGCCAGTCCCGGTGCTGTGATGGACATCCCAGATTTCCCCTCTCCCTAAAGCCTGCAGGAAACTGCAGCCCGGTAGGAGCGAGCCCTGTCCCTTGTCCCGCATTGTTTGGGGATTGTTTACATCCCCTTTTTGGTTATCCCAGCTCCCTGACTCCTCCCTGACCTCGCCGGCTCCTTTGGTCCATTGTGTGCGGCTGTTGTTGTTGTTCCAAGGAGTTCTGGGGGAGGAGGGTTGGAGCAAACCCTGGAATTACTCAGCCTCAGCCCGCTCCTTTCTGGCTCTGTTGCTTTATTTCACCTAAATAAAAATAAAAATAAAAATAAAAATAAAAATAAAAATAAAAATAAAAATAATAATAAACCAATACCACCGCCACCAATAACAATAACAACAATAATAGTAATAAACAATACTACTACTACTACTACTAACAATAATAATAATAATAATAAACAACAATAATTAGCAATATCACCACCACCAATAATAATAATAACAATAATAACAACAATAATAATAAACAATACCACCACTAATAACAACAATAATAAAAACAATAATAACAATAACAAAAATAACAATAATAATAAACAATACCACCATCACTAATAATAATAGTAATAATAATAATAATAATAAAATCAACAATATCACTACCAATAATAATAACAATAGCAACAACAATAATAATAATAAACAATAGCAGCACTAATAACAACAATAACAAAAATACCAACAACAACAATAATAATAATAATAATAATAACAATAATAATAATGATAATTCCCTCTAAGTGCAGTCCTGAGTGCTCTCTCCCACTGAGGATTTGGGAGCAGCTCACACATCTTCCCAGACTCGGGATCATCTCCTCGGGGTTATTTTTTTTGCTGTCTTCTTTTCCATAAAACATTCCTGACAAACTCAGAGCCCAGGCAGCGGGATGCTCCTGGAAAGCCCAGCCCCATCCCGAATATGGATCCCTGTGTCTTCTCCCCAGGAGCACACAGCATCCTGATCCTGGGAAGTCGCTCAGAGCTGGATGAAATCTGCCAGTGAATTTGGGATTTCCCAGCAGCGGGCTCAGGGAATCTTGCAGTTGGGTCTGGAATTCCTTCCGGAGCATCCCCCAAGCTCTTCCCCTGGAGCAGGGGAAAGTTCCCAGTGCCAAGTGCATCTGAGGCCAGGCAGATCCCGGGATCTGCCGGGGAACACGTGCGAGAGGCATTGGGAAAAGCAAGGAAATGTTTACGCTGGGAGGGGACTGTTGACAGTGCAGCTCCAACAGCTGACGCTGTTCAGGGCAGCCTTGCAATATTCTGCATTTTTTATTGCTCCTCTCCTGGGGGTCAGGCAGAGGGGAAGGATCAGATGGGGCTGGCAGGGCTGGCCAGGACAGGGAAGGTGGTGAGGAGGAGCTGTGCTTCGGTGTCAGGGTGGACTCTGGAACATTCCTTGGAGATTGTGGCCCCAGGAGATGTTTGAGTGGTGTCTGGAGCCCCACGTGTGCTGCAGCGGTGCCAGAGGAGATCTGGAAGATGTGGAAGTGTTTTGTGCTGGGAGAAGGGAACTCGAGGTGCCCGTGTTCTCTGGGGTGGCTCTCGAGGTGGGGAATTTGCCTTCCAAGTGGTCCCAGTTCCCGTGTGTCCCCGTCTGGCCGGGTGGGTTTCTGCCATTCCGTGTTCATGTCAAACCAGCCTGTCTCTCTTGTTCTGTTTTTAGCATGGCTGACAAGAACAGCACCCTGAAATGCACGTTCTCTGCTCCTGGCCACAGCACCACGCTGCTGCAGGGACTGGCCTCGCTCCGAGCCCAGGCTCAGCTGCTTGATGTCATCCTCACTATAAATAATGAAGTGTTTCAGGTTCATAAAGTTGTCTTGGCTGCCTGCAGTGACTATTTCAGGTGAGAATCCCGTAGGGAAGCAGGCACTTTTACCTTTCCCAGGGGTTTTGTGTGTCCCCGTCCTCCCCCCCACACCCCAAAAGTCCCACCCCACGGAAGCCTGTGGAGGTTTGGTTTGCTCCAGGGATGTCCTGCAGGCAGGTGGAGCTTCAGGATCAGTCCCTCTGCACTCAGGATTGTTCAGCTACAGCTGCTGGGCCAAGGCAGGAGTCCAAGCTCAGCTTTTGACCTCACCTGGGCAGGTGTCGATGCTTTTGTTGTGGTTTGGAGGTGGCAGCGAGGGCTCCAAAATGAGCCACCCCATGCTGCTGTTCCCTTTGAGCACCACTGCTGTGCCTGTAGGGCTCCCTGCCCCTGGGCTGAGGGCACCACGGTCCTGTGTGACCCCAGAAGATCCCAGGAGGATTGTCCCAGCTGGTGGGGTTGGAAACAGAGGCACGCTGAGGAGTTCCTGCACCCAGATTTAGTGCAGAGGGAATTGCAGGGCAGGGAATTCAGTCCTGAGTGGAAAGAGGTGTTTTTTTTCTGTCACATCACAGAATCACTGAGCTGTGGTTGAGGTTGGAAAAGATCTCCAGGTTCATCGAGCTCAGCCTTGTCACCGGAGCACTGAGTGCCATGTCCAGGAATTCCTTGGACACCTCCAGGGGTGGGGACTCCAAACCTCCCTGGGCAGCCCCTGCCAAAGCCTGACCACCTTTTCCACGAGGAAATGTTCCCAAAATCCGCCCTGAGCCTCTCCTGAGGCCGTTCCCTCTTGTCCTGGTGTCCCCTGGGAGCAGAGCCTGACCCTCCTGGCTGTCCCCTCCTGCCCAAAATTCCTCCTGAGCCTTTTTTCCTCCTCCTGAGCCCCTTCCCAGCTCCCTCAGAACTGATTCTCTCTGTCAAACGCTCTTGGAACAGCTCTGGCTGGGAGTGACCTTGAGTCTGGGATCTTTTTGGGGTGGCACCCGTGGCAGTGCGAAGTGAGGGACGTTCTGGAGACACCGGGAGCAGGGCAGGCTCAGACTCAGGGAGAGCTGGGAGCCATTCCAGGCTCTGGGAGGGGTGGAAAAGCGGCTGTGGATGGGATTTGCCATCCCTTGATGTGCAGGTAAACAGGACCCGAGAGGTTTCATCCATCCTTCAGCTGCTCCGAGTTCATTTTCCCTGCTCTCCCCTCCTCTCTCCCCGGGGTAACACAAACCTTGCAGGTTTATCCCACACACAATTCATCCCGGAGCTGCTCTCCCCCCAAATGCTAATGGCACTGTTCTGTTCCTCCCTGCTGGCTGCAGGGCCACTGCCAGGCTGGTTTCAGGGTTGAAATCTAATTGCTGAGTAGGTTCCTCCTTAGAACTTCAGTGGTGCTAAAGAAAGTTGTGCTGGGGAAACAATGGCAGAATAATCCAGCTTTTGAAAACACTCTGTGGGGTTTTTTTTTTCGTTTTTTTTTTTTTTTTTTATCCTGTGGGAAGGGGGAGGGAAAAGATTGAAATTGAAGCATTTATATAATCAGCATTTTAGAACCATAACGCTTTTCGAAGGGAATCGCATTTTAGTTGATGATTTATCTTCAGCGTGGCAACAATAAAACGCTTTCCTCTCGCTGCTCAGCTGGTGCAGGAGCACACACGTGGCCAAGTGTCCTCTGGGCTGAGGGATCAGGGCTGGGATGTGCAGGGATTTCAGCAGGATGCTCTCATCTGCTGCACGGACAAATAATTGGGAGCAGCGTTCCTGGTCACTGGGTTACAGCAGGCTGAGCTCACAGGCAGATATTTCCTTCTTTAGGTCATTTAGGATTTCTTGGGTTTGTGCTGGAAGGCAGCAGGTTTTCTAGCCCGGTTTGGACAGGAAACTTGGAACTCCTGTCTTCTGACAGTGTTCCCAAGATGTTCCTTTATTCCTGTGTCCGTGCAGGGTCTGGTCAGCATTTTTTGGGGCTGACTCGCGCCTTGGAGTCGGCGCAGGCGGCTCTGGTGACACCACGGATTTGCCTTTCCCATGGAAAAGAGAAGGTGGAAAAAAACCAACCCAAAATGTGCAGTTTTAAGGCGTTTCGTGTGACAATTCACGGACTTGCTGGGACTGCCTGGTGGCCGGGAGCGGTGACACTCCCCGTGTCACACTTTGGCTTTGCCTGACCCAAAACTTCTCTGCCCCCTCTCCTGGAACACCACGGGCTGCAAACCTTTCCCCCCAACCACAAAACCCTCTGGGACGGGCTCTAAATGGCCCAAAGGGCCGAAAATGACCCGAACCCCACGAGCTCAGCCCCGTCCCCATCCTGCCCCCGGTGCTGGGAGTGCGGCCTCCCGGCCCCGGGCGTGGAATGCGCTTCCTGTGGAATTTTGGAGCCTCCCAAGGAGGTGATCCCTAAGCTCAGCGTGGCCTGGGCGAGCGATGTGCTCGCAGCTGTGCTGTAACTGAGCCTTTTCCCCCCGATTTTTGTTTAATTGCCTGTCAGCCCCCTGCTGCCGGCCTTGCTGGAGGGGCTGCGGCTCCCATTTTTCCAGGCCTTGGGAAGGAGCCCTGGAGGAGAGGTTCTGCTGGAAGACCAAAGCTGTTCCTGAGATGGGTTGCACCTGCAGTTTTTGAGCCGTTTCGTGGCTCCCTGTGAGGTAACAGGCCCGAAATTTGCTGCCAGGAATCACCGGCCTCCTACCACGGGGTGTTCCTTCCTTGTGCTCCCAAATCCTAAACCTAAACCCCTTCAGGGCACAGCTCCCGATCCCTGCTGGTGCAGCCCCCGTGGGATCCGTTCTTGTCGGAGATCACGGATTCATTGGTGTCCAGAACTGTTCACTGCCTGCTCTGGCAGCTCTGCCTCCTCCTGGAGCTTGGTCCTGTGGTCTGCTCTTAATTCCTGCTGCCAGCGGGATTGAAAAACTTCTCCAGTTGCTGAATATTCCTGCTCAGCGCGCTGTTTATGCAAGCCTTATGTAAGTCATCGCACGCTCTCATTTCTCCTGGCTCGCAGAGATTTAGCCTTGATTTATTCCCCCCTTCCCCAGCCTAGGAGAATCAGAGTGTTAAAGAAAATCCAGTTCCGAGGTGCTGCATCTTTTGCTTCAACGGGGGGGCGAGGATTTTTTTTCTCTGTTTGTGTCGCTGACCTGCAGGGCGATGTTCACGGGAGGGATGAAAGAAGCCAGCCAGGACGTGATCGAGCTGAAAGGCGTGTCTGCCAAGGGCCTGAAGCACATCATCGACTTCGCCTACAGCGCCGAGGTGACGCTGGACCTCGACTGCATCCAGGACGTGCTGGGAGCCGCCGTCTTCCTGCAGATGGTGCCGGTGGTGGAGCTGTGCGAGGAGTTCCTGAAGTCGGCCATGAGCGTGGAGACGTGCCTCAACATCGGCCAGATGGCCACCACCTTCAGCCTGGCCTCCCTCAAGGAATCCGTGGACGCCTTCACCTTCAGGCACTTCCTGCAGATCTCCGAGGAGGAGGATTTCCTCCACCTGCCCCTGGAGCGCCTGGTGTTCTTCCTGCAGAGCAACAAGCTCAAGAGCTGCAGCGAGATCGAGCTGTTCCGCGCCGCCGTGCGCTGGCTGCAGTTCGACCCCGCGCGCCGCGCCAGCGCCAGCCGCGTGCTCTGCCACATCCGCTTCCCTCTGATGAAATCCTCGGATCTGGTGGACAGCGTGCAGACCCTGGACATCATGGTGGAGGACGTGCTGTGCCGCCAGTACCTGCTGGAGGCCTTCAACTACCAGATCCTGCCCTTCCGGCAGCACGAGATGCAGTCCCCGCGCACGGCCATCCGCTCGGACGTGCTGTCCCTCGTCACCTTCGGCGGCACGCCCTACACCGACAACGACCGCACCGTCAGCTCCAAGGTCTTCTGCCTGCCCGACGCCGGCGGCCGCCAGTTCCGCGAGCTGAGCGAGATGGAGGTGGGCAGCAGCCACTCCTGCGTGGCCGTGCTGGACAACTTCGTCTACCTGGTGGGAGGGCAGCAGCTGCAGTACCGCAGCGGGGAGGGCGCCGTGGACGTCTCCTACCGCTACGACCCCCACCTGAACCAGTGGCTGCGCATCCAGGCCATGCAGGAGAGCAGGATCCAGTTCCAGCTCAACGTCCTGCGCGGCATGGTGTACGCCACGGGCGGCCGCAACCGCTCGGGCAGCCTGGCCTCGGTGGAGAAGTACTGCCCCAAGGACAACGAGTGGAGCTACGTGTGCTCCCTGAAGCGCAGGACGTGGGGCCACGCCGGGGCCACGGTGGGGGACAGGCTGTACATCTCGGGGGGTTACGGCATCTCCGTGGAGGACAAGAAAGCCCTGCACTGTTACGACCCCGCCGCCGATCAGTGGGAGTTTAAGACCCCCATGAACGAGCCCAGGGTGCTGCACGCCATGGTCAGCGCCAACAGCAGGATTTACGCCCTGGGAGGCCGCATGGACCACGTGGATCGGTGTTTCGACGTCCTGGCCGTGGAGTATTACGTCCCCGAGACGGACCAGTGGACCACGGTGAGCCCGATGCGCGCGGGGCAGTCGGAGGCCGGCTGCTGCCTCCTGGAAAAAAAGATTTACATCGTGGGGGGCTACAACTGGCACCTGAACAACGTGACCAGCATCGTGCAGGTGTACAACACGGAGACGGACGAGTGGGAGAGGGACTTGCACTTCCCAGAGTCTTTTGCTGGCATCGCCTGTGCCCCCGTTATCCTCCCGCAGGTGACGAGCCAGAGGTGACTCTGGGGGGCTCGTGGGACACAAATTGGCTCCAATTCCCTGCTCCAGAAGGTCCCTCCTGCTGCTGGGGAGTCCTGGTGAGGCGATTCCACCAGCAGCACTTGTCAGACTGAGCAGATGTTCCAGCTGGGAAAAGCTTTTCTCTCCTCTCTCTTGGTTTTTGGTGGGTTTTTTTTTTTTCTGGGGGGTGCATTTTGCCGATTTCTCGTGTTTTTAACGGCCTCACGCACTGCAAACATTGGCAGCTCAGGAGTCACTCAGCACTGGGGTCTTGTTTCCAAGAGATCAGGTGGGGGTTTTTTATCAAAAGCTCCAAAAATAAAAATCCTTGTGGGTCGCTTTGTTGGGTTTTTAGCAAACAAACACAAAAAAAAAAAAAGCCAAAAAAAAAAAACCCAAACCAAAAGCTGTGTAACACACTGACCTCCAGAAGCAATAAAAGGACAGTGGGAGCTACAAGAGCTCAGGTGCTTGGGTTGGGAAAGCAGATCCCTGTTTTTCAAAGGTGACTTTTCCTTTTCTTCCCTTCCTGAAAAAGGGAATATTTATCCCTGCACACCTCTGGTCTTCACTGCTTGGATCATGCTGTAATTCCTCGTCCCCTCCAGCTCCTCTAGTGCAGAAATTCTCCCTTAATTGGGGTTTGCAGCACTAAAGCCATGGTGAAAGCTTGATTATATATAAACAGGCGTGATTATTTGGGTTTAGAAGTGCCAAAAATTCGGCTGCCCTGGCAATAAGAGCTCTGCAGTCAGCGAAGCCAAGAGCTCCTGCAGATCCTGGGTCAGGATTTTCACCTTTCCCAGCACCTTCATCCCAACTCTTCCTCTGGTAAAGGAGGTGGGTGCTACTCCTTCAGCAGCTGGAAGATTTTCTTCCCTGCCTTGTGAATGAGCTCCTTGGCATCCCAAAATGATGGGAGCCCCACTGGAATGTGTTTTTTTTTGTTGTTGTTGTTGTTGTGGTGGTATTTTAAATGAAGAGATCTCTTTAAGATGGCTCTGTGGTTTTTGTAAAATCTTCACTTGCACAGAACACTTCCTGAACTTTCTCCTCCAAGCCATTTTCCTTATTTAATTTGAGGACTGAATTGCAAAAAATCTCTGCTTTTATCAGGAATTCCGTTTCCAAGGGCTTTGTTTTGTATCTGTGTCAGCTTGATTTGGATGCACACGGCCTCCTTTTGTAGAGAAGCTGTTGCATTCCGCTGCAAAATAAATCCTGGGCTGCAACCTTTAGTGACAACTCATTTGGTGTGCTGATGAATCCTTGAGAGCTCTGTGTAAAGCAGGAGCTCCACACCTCAGAGATTTTTCTGGAATTCACGGGGTCAGAGCACCTTTGGGCGCTCACATTTTGAATTTCAGGTAAAAGCCACGCAGGATTTCCTCCGCTCCTCTCCCCGTTTTTGCCAGTGAGAAATGGATGGGAAGGACGTGTTGCTGTGTGGAATGGTGCAGTTTAATTGACTCCTTTTGGAGTCAGTGGGCCTGGGATGGGCTTGGCAGAGACAGGAGATGCTGAGAGGATGAACTGGAACTCAGCTCGAGCTTCACAGTTACAAAGGAATGGATTTTCCTCCTTTTTTACAAACACGGTGTTTCCTCAGGTGGGTGACAAACAGAGGTGTTCCTCCCTTTCCCGTCTGCAGGATCTGCTCAATCCTCTTCTCAAGGTGCCATTCCCTCGTCCAGAGTGACAGACAGGGTGGGAAATTCGGGATAAATCCATCCCTGGGAGGGTGGGCAGCTTCCCAGATCCCTGAAAGTGTCCAAGGCCAGGCTGGAGCCACCTGGCACAGTGGAAAGTGTCCCCGTGTCTCTTCAAGGTCCCTCCCGACCCAAACCACGCTGGAATTCCACGATTCTGCAGCCACTTAAATATTCTTCCCCGTTTTAATTTGAATTTCCCCCGATCCCTGCGGCAGCAGTGGATGCTCTGGGTGCTCTGTAATCCCTGAGTTTTTCTGGATGTGGTTCCCATGCCACAGATCCACGTGGAGAGCATCCCTGGAATCTCTTCCTGAGGAAAGCAAGCTTTGTTTTTTCCCTTCAGGTTTCTCAGGTAGGTGTGTGTGTGTGTTGGGGGAAAAGAGGAAAATCCTTGGAAAACGTGGAAGAGCCTGCTTGGGCTCAGTTGCAAAGATAAACATAATCCAGGAATTAATTCCTGTTGGAAGCGTTGTTTTGCAGGCAGGAGGATGCACAAAGCCCTTCTGGAATTCTGTTTATTTATTATTTATTATCAATTGCCTGCCATGAAGCAAAACCAAGCTGGGATTCCCATTCCTATTCCCTGAGGAGCTGGGAAGGGATCTGGGAGTCTCTGGATCGGAGCACCGCAGCTCTTTGTTGCTGGAATGTTCTTTTTAGAGCAATGGGAATAATTATTTCTCACCAAAAGAGCTGGAAATCTTCTAAATTTAGCAGAGACTCGAATATTTGTGGATCATAAATATTTTGGATGAGGAATTTTGCTTGGCCCCCCGTGCAGGGGGATGGAGTCGTGGCTCCGGGCTGGGCACAACCTCTCTGATATTCTGAGATATAACATTAATATTAATACTAATACTAATACTAATATTAATATTAATAATATGGGTTTGGTGCTTCAACAGTTGATGGTTTCAGGAGGGTTTTCCCATAAATACGGATGGGATTGTGTGGAAACACTTCCCAGGATGCCCCACATGGAAAGGAGGTGGATTGGGCTTCTCTTTTCCCGAGGAATGAGCAAAGCCAGATAAATCCTTGATTGTGCTCGGAGTCATTCATGGCTCTCGGAGCAGCCATAAAAATTCTGGGGGTGAATTGGGTAAATTTGGGAATGCCCCTGGGGGTGAATTGGGTAAATTTGGGAATGGCCCTTGGGGTGAATTGGGTAAATTTGGAAATGCCCCCGGGGGTGAATGGAGTGAATTTGGGAATGCCCCTGGGGGTGAATTGGGTAAATTTGGAAATGCCCCCGGGGGTGAATTGGGTAAATTTGGGAATGCCCCTGGGGGTGAATTGAGTGAATTTGGGAATGTTCCCGGGGGTGAGTTGGGTAAATTTGGAAATGACCCTTGGGGTGAATTGGGTAAATTTGGAAATGGCCCTTGGGGTGAATTGGGTAAATTTGGGAATGTTCCCGGGGGTAAATTGGGTAAATTTGGGAATGGCCCTGGGGGTGAATTGAGTGAATTTTGAAATGCCCCTGGGGGTGAATTGGGTAAATTTGGGAATGGCCCTGGGGGTGAATTGAGTGAATTTTGAAATGCCCCTGGGGGTGAATTGGGTAAATTTGGAAATGCCCCTGGGCAGATGGGGAGCAGGGGAAGCCGGAGCATCGCTAGCACAGAGCCTGTGTGTCCCTCCAGAGGCTCCTGTCAGGGCTGGGATAACAATTCCTGTCTCCTCTGATGTTTTATGGGCCTGAAATTGCGCTTAAAACGATAAAGGCAGCCCTGGGAGTCTTGGCAGGGCGGAGAGCAGCGAGAGATTGGGAATGTCTGCATCCCATTAATGGTGTCACTGACCCTTTTCCAGAGGGTCTGCCTGCTCCCAATCCCACTGTCACTTCTCCCTAGCCCAGAGCCCGGATAATTCACACAGACGTGGAAGTTTTTTAACAGCAGTGGAAAAAATTTCCATTTCTTTGATTCAGACAGAAGGAAGGCACTCCCAGCAGCTCCCAGTTAGCCTGGTGCTGGTTTGGAGTGCTGCTGTGGGAGCCACATCAAACCCCAGGCAGAAATTCCCACTTCCAGGGCTCCGATAAGGGCTGGAGCCGCCGAAACTCCGCAAAACTTTCGGGACATTTATCACAGCAGGATTATTGGAGCCAGACTACTGTCAGGATAAATAAAACATGTTCCCCAGTGCAGCTCTAATTATGATTTTTAGCCAGTTGTGTAATGTGCAGAACTTTATTTACAATAAATCTTCCAGTTGCTCGCACAAATGAATGGGATTTCATCGCCGGTGACTGAAGGAGCAGGAAAAGTGGATGTGGCTGGAGAGGGAGGGAGCAGGGCTGGCTGCTCTGGCCTTCCAAGGAGGGCTCAGCTCCCCTGGATTCCACCTGGGAGCACAGAAATATCCCCCAGACATCTCCCCCCGAGCTTTAGTGCGGAGACAGCTGCGGTTGCTGCCACGGTGAGCGGGCACAGCAGCATCCCGCAGCCTCCAGGACTTTTGTTTCTGGTTCCCAGCTCCTCTCTGAGCTCCTGGGACAGGCGTTTGGCACCTCTCCGTTCCATAGCTCAGCTCCAGGGAGGAGTTTCAGCTTCTATCCGTGGGGCAGGTGCGTTCCCCAGCGCTGAGGAGTCCAGAGAACGAACACAAAATGGGTTTTTGTGCTGGGAAACGGCTGCTGGTTGAGCTGTGCCACCCGAAATCAGCCTCAGATCTCGGGGAAAAGGGGCAGGAGCAAGAGGAGGGTGACAATTCCCAGCCCTGGGAGTGCCCAAGGCCAGGTTGGGAGGGGGTTTGGAGCAGCCTGGGACAGTGGAAGTGCCCCCCTGGATGATCTTTATCCAACCCACACCACCCTGGGGTCGTCTGGAAACCAAAAAGCTGCCGGGGCAAAAGTTTCTATAAACTGGAGAGAGAAATCAAAGCTTCTTGGCTGGGTCCCTGAGGCTTTGCAGTTGCTCTTTCACACCCAGGCCCCTGTAATTAGCTAGAACTGGTTTATATGGCTTCTTAAGGAATGAAAATCTCTTTTTTTTGGGGGGTTTGTTTGTGCAGGCCGCCGGCCCAGGCTGTGCTGGCTGCCCCAGAGCCCAGCTGGAGCGAGGCTTTTGAAGTCTGGCTTTGTCCCACAGCAGGAGCACCTGGAGCAGAATGGATCCTTTCATACATTTCATCTTTTTCAGCTGCACCCAGAGGTATTTTCCGTGGGGTGTTTGTGACCAGGCTGTTAATCCTGCCCACTGAGCTTTAAATGCAAAGTTTTAAATTTATTTATTTATTTCTTTAGCTTTAAATGCAAAGCTTTAAATTTATTTATTCATTTCTTTAGTTTTAAATGCAAAGCTTTAAATTTATTTATTTCTTTAGCTTTAAATGCAAAGCTTTAAATTTATTTATTTATTTATTTAGCTTTAAATTTATTTATTTATTTCTTTAGCTTTAAATGCAAAGTTTTAAATTTATTTATTTATTTCTTTAGCTTTAAATGCAAAGCTTTACATTTATTTATTTATTTATTTAGCTTTAAATGCAAAGCTTTAAATTTATTTATTTCTTTCTTTAGCTTTAAATGCAAAGCTTTACATTTATTTATTTATTTCTTTAGATTAATTTTATTTATTTATTTTTTTAGCTTAAAATGCAAAGCTTTAAATTTATTTTTTAATTTATTAGGTTTAAATTTATTTATTTATTTCTTTAGCTTTAAATGCA